AAAGATTAGTGAAATTTCTTCTGCTTTTGACATTTTTTTTTTAAATATAAAGAATGGTTTTATTTAACTTTATTTATTTATTTATTTTAATTTGACCAGAGAGGGGCAGAGCACACGCATGAGAAAGCAAGCTGCCAGGTTTGGGACTCGAACTACTGTCGACCATGTGTGAGTCCAGCGCCCTTAACCACCACGCCACCTGCTGGCCCCATGCTTTTGACATTATTCTAATCATGCTGCAGTAAATAGTGTCCTTGCTCAGAGATGGGAGCGTTTCTCTTACCGAGACTGCGAGGAGTGTTTCTGGGATGCGCAGCATCACCTCTAGCTGTTACCAAATGAATTGTGACAGGATACTGTCTTGTAAGCAGTTCGTATGAGTTCCTCTTTCCTGACAGCCTCCCTGGCACTTTTAAAATTTTTATCAGTTTTAATAGGTATAAAATGTTACCACATTGTTTTACTTTGCATTTCTCTAATTACCATTGATATTTTGTGTCTTTCCATACATCTGTTGGCTTCCAGTTTCCTCCCCAGGAATCCTGTTGGTGTCATCTGCCTATTCTCTGCTCAGCCGTGTGTTGACTTTGTTGTATGTAAGTGTGTGTTGCATCTATCCTCTTCCAGTTTGTAACTTTCTTTTCACTTTAATTTTTTTATTTTGTAAACAACTCACGCCGCTGAATTTGGTTTGCCCCCCCCCTTTTTTTTTCTTTGAGGGGGTTTGCATCAGTATTTCCATGTCTAACACAGGCTTACATTTTTCTCTTATACTGTCACGGTGATACATTCTCCATGTTAAGAGTTTAGCTGCACTCCTCTTTTTTCTGTTCTCTGGAAAGGTGGTTTGAGAGGGTCTGTTCCTAGAAAGTTCAGTGAAACAACCTGTAGAACCATCTGGGCTCAGTGGTTTTGTTACTTGGTGATTTATAGATTTATAGGGGGTGGTGAGTAATGGGTGGAGTTTTACCATTGAATTTTATGCTTAGGGGTCTATTAAGGTTTTAAATTTTATTGTTAAAAGTTTTTAATAAACTTGGGAACCAGCAGTTAGCGTAATGGCTATGTCACTGGACTCCCATGTAGTCGACCGCAGTTCGCGTCCCAGACCCGGTGGCTTAAAACTCACGCCGGGCGCGTGTGCATGCGTGCCCAAGATCCTGAGAGGAGAATGGAGGAGAAGGGATTGCGGTGTGACCATCCCCCCTGGGCAGTGATTTCTCGCTTTCTGTCTCTATGTCTCTCTCTGTCTGTCTGGCGAGCGCACGCACCCTATAGCGAAAACCTCTCAAAAAAAAAGTTTTTAGTAAACTCCATGAGTGAGAGAGACAGAGAGATACAGCACCCCCAACAGGATCTTCTCTCTTCAGTCCACTCCAGCTCCAGCCAGCCTGGGTCATGGGTACACGCAGGCCCGGTACCCAGGGGGTGTAGCCTTTCCCTGGGGGGTCAGCCTCGCAGAGCATTGCATTTTACCCACAATGCTCCCATTCCACGCCATGGTTTTGATTTATTAAATGTATTTGTGAATATATGTTTTGACAAGTTATGTATTTTTGGGAGATTAATTTATTTCATCTGGAGTTTCTAAATATTTTATGAAAGGTTATTCCATTTTTCTGTACTCTCTTTCTACTATATTTATTACTGATGTCTCTAAAATTTTCTGGTATTTATTTGTATCATTTTTCTTTTCCTGATCTATCCAATGTCTTCGATTCTGTTTATTACCCTTATGATCTCTTCTAATTTTGTATTCTTGGGTATGCTGTTCATTTTTGACTTCTCACATTAGATGCTTGGGTCATGAATTTCTGGTCTTTTCTAATATAAGTTGAGTATCTTTATCTGAAATCCTTGGGACTGTAAGTGTTTTAGTTTGAGATTTGTTTAGATTTGGGGACATTCCTGTATTACATAATGAGATATCTTGAGGATGGGACCCATGTTTAAATGCGAAATTCATTTATGTTTCATAAAATGCCTTATACATGTAGCCTAAAGGCAGGTTTATACGGTGTTTTTGTATTGTAGCATTTTGACTCGGACCCTGCACACGAGATCAGGTGGGGAATTTTCCACTTGATTTGTCCTGTTGGTGTTCAAGAAATTTTTGATTTAGGAGCATTTCAGAGTTTGGATTTTGGATTAGAGCTGCTCAGCTTGTTATGTGCATTTCAGATTGTAAAATTCTCACTAAGATCTATTTTACCTGCATCCAGCACATTTTATATTATTATTATTTTTCTTTATTTATAACAGAGTATGTGGGTGTGCACATGAGTGAGACAGAGAATTACCTCCCTCCTGTCTGACCATACCACAGTCGTCTTCCTTCGGTCCTCCAGCCTGCAGATCTTGGACACTTGCGTGTGTGTCCAGAGTATTTGAGGCTGCCTGGGGATGCAGACTGCAGTTGGCCATGTGGGATCTGGCTTCTCTAAGCAGCACATTAACACTGCACCACAGAACTGCCCCTGTATCCTACAGGTTTTGAAATTATGTATTTATTATTCAATTTTAACTTTTAAAAATTATGCCTTAATTATACATCAGTTTTAAGTTCTTAAAATTATTCTTTTTTTCCAAAATGAATTATGTAGTAAATTTTTTAAATTCTCAAATGTACTGGAGAGTTTTGATTTACATTTTTCTATTAATGTAGTAGTTGTATCGACCACATTATGTTCAGAACTTACTATAATAATATTGATTCTTTGGGGGTTTTTTTTTTTTTGAGAAATATTTTGTGAGCTTTTAACTGGTTATTTAAAAAATTAATGTTTAATGTGTGCTTGAAAAATGTATTTAAAACATTTGCTATAAAGTAATATATTTTCACTAGGTCAGACTCCTTAGTTTTATTAAAATCTTTATTCATACTAATTTTGGCTGTTTGATCTTTTAAGTCTTTATTAAAAGTTCTTAAGATTATGGTTTTGTCATTTCTCTTAGAATTCTGTCGACCTTTGCTTTAATTATTTTGAAGCTGTGTAGTTAGATGAGTTAAAGTTCATAGTGACTAACTTTCCAGTACATTTTTAAAATGTTAGATAGCGACATTAATCTTTAATAATGCATTTCTCCTTAAAGACTGTTCTGGTATTAATTTAGCTAAGGGGATATATTTTTCTTTGCCTACCTCCCTTAGTTGCCTTTTGGATTTACTTCCACTTATTGTATTTGAAATTTTGCCTCTTGAATCTAGAAAGTTTAATCTTTAATTAAACCTGGAAAATTCTCAACCATGATCTCTTTATTTATTTATTTATTTTTTATGTTTTTGCTGGGGAGAGAGAGAGAAAGTTAGAAAGTACCACCCCTGAGCTCCCCACTCCCCACCGGAGGGATGGTCATGCTGCAATACTTCTCTTCTGTTTTCCTCTCCTAATTTTGGGTGCACATGCACATGTCCCTGGCGTGAGTTTCAAGCCACCAAGTCTGGAATTTGAACCATGGTCGGCCATGTGGGAGGCCAGTGACGTAACCATTCATCTCCTGATCCCCACGTCTTTAATTTTTACTTGTGTTCCATTCTTTATTATTTTCTTCTCTGAAATGTCTATTTAAATGTTAGTCAGACCCCATTCTGGCCTTGTTTCAGTTATGAAATATCACATATTTAGAAGAACAACCCTGTTTAGATAAAGTTTAATAATTATAATAATTATGAAATAATTGCATAAAATAGGATGAACACCTGTGAGCCCACCACCACCGGCTTGAGCAGTAGAATATTATCCGGGGCCATAGCTCCAGGGGTACAAGTGAAATACCCATCTTTGGCCAGCCATGTGGTGTGGAGGTTAACGTGGCTGGATTCCACAGGGCTGACTGTGGTTCAAGTCCCAGGCTTGAAAAATCATGCCAGGTGCTTGTGTGTGCATGCCCAAAATCCCAAGAAGAAAATAGAGGAAAAAGGATTGCAGTGTTACCATCCCTGGGTGGGTAGGGGGTGACTTCTCACTCCTCCCTCCCTTCTGTCTTTTTCTGGCAAGCACATGTGTTCTATAGCAAAAGGGAAAAACAAACAAAAAAACCCAAAAACACAAAAAAGGAAGAAAATCACTTTTACACCCCTGTTATTACAGTAGCAGTTGTTTTGATAGAAACAATATTTGTCTGATAAACCAGGTTTGCTTTTTAGATTCTCATGTGTAACATGAACAAATTGTGGTGTCTATTCATGACCAACGTTAAACATTTTTTTTAATGAGATATGGAACTAGATAATGAGTAAGTTCTAAGCTGGTGTTAATTAGACTGTCAGCCTGGCATTTCTGTTGATTGAAGACAGCGGAGAGAGACTGAGATGTTAAAATGTAGTATGCTCTTTAGCCCCTGTGTGATAGCTAAAGCTTTTTTCCCCTCTCTGTCTCTTTGTATTTTTTAATTTTAACTTTTACTTCTACAATGCTATTCATTTCCAGTTCTGTTGATTTGTATTCTCAAGGCTATGTTTTACCGTATTAGAGTTATATTTCACATTTCAGATTATACCAGTACATACATACACTGGTAGAAACATACCTTACTTTATAGTGTGGCTATTAGATAATTATATTTTGGTAAAAAGAGTTTTAAGATTCTCTTTTTTTAAAAAAAAAAATTAACTTTATTTATTCATTCATTTCTATTTGACTGGGGTGGGGGGAGGGGAAGAGAGAGCAAGCAAGCCACCAGGTCCGGGACTCGAACCACGGTTGGCCATGTGGGAACCCAGCACCCTTAACCACCACGCCACCCACCAGTCCTGATATTCTCTTCTATTATGTCTGTTAATGCAGTTGATTAAATAAAATCTTGTGACTTTAGAGAGTTGGGCTCTTACAGTTTGATGGAGTGCCCTTGGTAGTAGATATTTCTAGAAATGAAAGTTAACGGTTATTATTGGTTGACTGTGATTAATGTCCTTTGAGAGAGTTTTAGAGTCCGAGAAAACATACAGACTTCACAGCCTTGATGTTACCTAACAGGTTCGTTTCTCTGTCTTCTTGCAGACTGGTCGAATTGACAAGTCCTACCCCACCGTGTGCGGCCACACAGGACCCGTGCTGGACATAGACTGGTGCCCACATAACGACCAGGTCATTGCCAGCGGTTCCGAGGACTGCACGGTTATGGTAAGGTTCTGGGGTATTGAAAGCACACAGGCCGGTGAAACTCAGCCACAGCGTTCATGACTGTGTGTGTGGAGACTTGAAAAGCAGAAAATTCATAGCAGTTTTGACTGCCCATTGATTTGATAGGGATTTAGCTCTACTAAAGTTTTATTAATAGTACAGGTAAGCCTTCACAAGCCCTTATATTAAGAAGTTTACTATATTGTCTTTTATTCTTCCTTTGTGCTAGTATGCATGTGCTTGTTGACAGCTGACATCTGCTCTGTGGGAAGATTTTAGGGAAAGTAAAATGACTTCCCAGTAATTCTGTGAATGCTCTTTGACCACATAGTCCCACAAAAAAATTTAAAAATGCTGGTGCACACTATTAAGTCAGAGGCCAATGATGACACAGATGAAGTAGGATATACGGAACAGCTTGGGGAGAGAGTATTGGTAAGCACCTAGTTTCCAAGCTAATGTCAGAGGCGTGTTCTGTCAGGTGGACCCAGGATAGAAAGGTCCTTTTTATGGAGAAAACTTGAAAGATGAAATAATTTTGTCTTATTCTCTTTTTGTGTTGCTAACAGAAATACCTGAGACTGGGTGAGTGTAAGAGAACAGGAGGTGGTTTTACTCACAGTTCTGGTTGCTGGGATGTCTAAAGGCATCACGAAACGGTGGAAGGCAGAATTTGAGCAGAGCGGAGTGTGAGCTGTAGCCACGTGCTGTGCCCTCTGCTTCATTTCCTCTCTGTGCCCATCAGAATTCAGTCACGGGCGGGGGGGCGCAATGACATTATCACAGCCAAAGGCCTCCCACCCTGGGACACCATGAAGGCATTCAATTTTCACTTAGCAATATAATCAAGTCCCAATGCAAGGATTTTGGGGGACATCCAAATTCCAAAACATGAAATTCTGAGGAACAAACTGTTACCCAATTCAGAATAAAGTTGTTTACATCCCTTGCTTTAAATCTTAAAAGTAAGTTATGGATGAAACCAGGCTTTGGGGTACTTTTTAATGGTAACTGTGCTCTTCATTATGATCTTTAGCCTTAAAATATTATTATTGGTTCAGATCAGGTTTTTTTTTTTTTTTTTTTGGAGAGATTTTCACTGTAGGGCGCGTGCGCTCGCCAGACAGACAGAGAGAGACATAGAGACAGAAAGTGAGAAATCACCCCCCAGGGGGGATGGTCACGCCGCAATCCCTTCTCCTCCATTCTCCTCTCGGGATCTTGGGCACGCACGCACATGCGCCCGGCGTGAGTTTTAAGCCACCAGGTCCGGGACACAAACCGCGGTCGACTACGTGGGAGTCCAGTGACATAGCCATTACGCTAACTGCTGGTTCCCCAGATCAGGTTTTAATACTAGCCCAAAATATGTGGGAAAGATTAGGCATTCGCCCAGTCAGGGAGAAGCCTAGTACCCCCAAAATAAGCGAAGGTGGTCCCTGATTAACCCGTAAGTCGTCGTATGCGTAGCAGGTAAGAGAGCTTGGAGAACCACACTACTTTCATTTTCCTCTTCATTGTCTGTAGACTAGAACATTGTTTGGAAAGCTTTATTCATTAAGATTATTTTGCATAAACACAAATTGATTTCTGAACTATGTCATTTAAACATTTACCCGCTTTTCCTCATGGGCATTTGGCTGAGGATGACTGACTTCTCCTGTGAGCTCATAGTTTTGGCAGCCGAAGCATATTAAAGAAAGATGCTGCTGTTAAAAGGAATTGTTCTGTTTAATGTGCTTTCTAAATTGATCATTTTAATGACTGCAGACACATTTTGCTAAGAGAATGGAGCCCTTTTTTAGACTTGCTGCCAAAAATCCTTTTTTTTTTTTTTTTTTTGGTGAAATGTTTATTTCTTTAGAGAATGGCAGACCAGCACTCTCAACAGGATCTCATGCAGGGTCCTGTTCCATAACCCCCCTCCCCCAATTAATGGAGGAGAAGGTATTGTGGCATGGCCATCCTCCCTGGGGGCAGTGATTTCTCACTCTCTTTCTCTCTCTCTCTGGGAGCATAAGCACCCGATAGCCAGAGGAAAAAAAAAGCTGAAAAAACCCCAGCTTTTTAACCTGTGCCATCTGTTCTCCCTCCATTTATAGATGAAGAACGGGATGTTTTTGTGATCACGTCGTCATTACACTTCACCGTAGAGCCTGCCTTAGTTTTGGAAGCAGCTACGTCTGCTGCTTTCTGCTACAGTAGTTCCTGCGTCAGTCTCCTAGTCATTTGGAGCATTTGAAGCTCACGCTCTACTAGATTCTTCCCGAAAAGCTAATGGGAATGGTATTCTCTGGTGTTGATAATAGTTGGTCTAATCTTTCTACTTGAAGCTCAGTTTTTCTGAATATAAAATCTTTGGCTTACATTGGCCATCTAAATAAATTGTTCCGTTCTTTTTTTTTTCCTGAAGTGTTGTTGCCAAAGTCAGATAATCTAATTGTCTTGTCCTTACAAGTCATTATGTTCTATTTGTCTAGACATTCACAAGATTTTTTCTTAAAGTGTAATAGCTATACTCGAACGTCATTAATAGTTCTGAATTGGTATTCTTAGGCATGTGATATGCTCATTTCTATATACAATTTTGAGGTTTTAATTTTTTTAATTGTAGTGTTTAGTATTTGTTCTGCTCCCGTATTTTGGTTTTCTGTTCAGGGGCTCCTGTAATCCACATACTTTTTCTTTTACCAGCCTTCATTATTTATCGGTTTCACTCCAAACTTTTTTTCTTATTCATTTCTTTAAGACTTATTTTTTTAAATATTTTTTTTGCATTTGGGTGCATTGTTTGTTGTGTTTATTTTCCTTTTTGTTTTTCCTTGGTTAATCTTCATTTTTAAAGAGAGAGAAAGTAACCTCTCCCCTCAACAAGGCTTGTTCATGCCACAATCCTTTTTCCTCTAATTCTTCATCTCGTCAGGATCCTGGGTATATGCACACACACATCTTTGAAGCCAACAGGGTTGGAGCTCGAACCCTGGTCAGCCAAGTGGGATCTGGTCTCTTCTCCACAGTGCCTAACTGCTGCATTATGGGTGTGCTTCCTATTTTTTCTTTCTTCTTTTTTTTTTTTTCCCATGATTTCTGTTGCTTTATTTTTGAATTTTCAAGTCAGATTATGTACTGTTATATTGTTTTCTTAATGTTCTTATCTCATTTTTGAAATAGCATATTATCGTTTTTTAAGGTTATTCTTTCATGAGAAAAAGAGGCAGAGACAGACAGACAGACAGGCACCCCTGACAGAGTCTTCATTCCGTAATCCACTCCCAGCTTCAGCCAGCCAGGATCACAGACACACGAGTGCATGCCCGGAGTGTATAGGGAGACCTCAGGACGTGAACCCAGGACCTTCCATGTGGCCTTAGTGTCACAGCGTGTTTGCCTTACTGCTGCACTTCCTTGGTGGCCTGTTACACTTTTTAATCTGTTTTCTGAGTATGTCTTTATAGCATTTTTTTGTTATCCATAGGGATGTTATCTTATGCCTTATCCTCTTTTTCTCGGTATAATTTTGTAATTTGATGTTGACTTTGTGTGTATGTGTACTTATTTTTATGTAAACTTGTTTTCCATAGCTTTTTAGAAGGTGGCTCGGTTCAGCCAGCTGTCTTCTCTTCACAGAGCTTCCTGTCTTGCCATCTTTAGGTAGTGAGTGCTCAGAGCATGACGGCTTGCCTTTTGACATTTCTTGGCTTGCTTTTGTTTGGCCTTTCTCATTCCTTTGTCCATCTTATTCCTATCTTGCTCAGATTTTATTCCATTCCCTGGAGTCTCTTCTGGCCTGGGGGACTTGTCCTGGAAGGAGCTCTGTCTGGTCCAGTTCTAGAGCACTGGAGTCTAGATTGTGCCCCTGCTTCAGACCGTATTATTTACTGCAGGACCCCTGCGTTTGGCTGCTTTTGGAGAGGGCTCAACCTCTGCTAGTCTCCTTGCTTGTCACACTGGACCACTGTTCTGTCTCAGATGCCTCACTGTTGCCCTGCACCAGAGGCTGATAACATGCAGGTCACATGGCTATTGGTGGTCTGTTATCTGTTGCTCTGTGTTTTTATGGAGGGACTTGGGGACAAAAATCTCAAAACTATGCTACCATTGAGATTATCATCTACCCAGAATCCTCTAAAGTTGTCCTTTTATAATGCTATTGCCAGAGTGAATATTTTTTTTTTTGGAGAGGTTTTTGCTATAGGGCACGTGCGCTCGCCAGACAGACAGAGAGAGACAGAGAGACAGAAAGCGAGAAATCACCCCCCAGGGGGGATGGTCATGCTGCAATCCCTTCTCCTCCATTCTCCTCCCGGAATCTTGGGCACACACGCGCCCGGCGTGAGTTCTAAGACACCGGGTCCGGGACGCGAACCGCGGTTGACTACGCAGGAGTCCAGGGACATAGCCATTACGCCAACTGCTGGTTCCCTAGAGTGAACATTTTGTAAATTAAACAACAGTTGGGATAAATCCTCCTAATTTTCTTTAAAACTTTAAGTATGGAATGGATAGTTAAATCACTCTTTAATCACTTAATGTTCCTCCAGTCATGTTTTATTATTAGGGTAATTGAAGCTTTAACAGGGCTTAGCAGTTGAACGTTTAAAGAAATACTTCATTGGGAACCAGCAGTTAGCATAATGGCTATGTCACTGGACTCCCACGTAGTTGACCGCGGTTCACGTCCCGGACCCGGTGGCTTAAAACTCACGCCGGGCGTGTGTGTGTGCGTGCCCAAGATCCCGAGAGGAGAATGGAGGAGAAGGGATTGTGGCATGACCATCCCCCCTGGGGGGTGATTTCTCGCTTTCTGTCTCTATGTCTCTGTCTGTCTGGCGAGCGCACTCTATAGCGAAAAATCTCTCTCTCTCAAAAAAAAAAAGAAATACTTCATCTACTTCTGTCTTACATGCTTCTTAATACTTCGTTTTCCACTTTGCTCTGCTGAAGGTTAAAGAATGTTGTACGATCGGATGGTTTCAAACACCCCCCGCCCTTTGTTTAAG